TTGTTATTTTATTATATAATTATTATTATATATTATGATTATATTATTATAATATTGTATTATAATTATTATATTATTATATTATTGATTATTATTATTATTATTTATTATAACTATTAATTATTATTATAATTATATTATATTATGATTTATTATTATATTATTATTATTAATTATGATTATTATTATTATTGTTGGAAACGCGTACTAGCGTCACCCCGCCGCGCCGCTACTGGCGAGACGACCAGACAGGTGCCTAACCTAGAAGCTTGTAACCGCCGTCCTGTCCCCGCGCGCCGCACCTCGGAATGCAGTCAGTCGTGATGTGAGTCAGTCGTGGGAAGCAGTCGAAGTACAGCAGCCAGCACACGCGGCGCGGATCGCGGAACGCGGAAGCCCGCCGATCTACACCTGTCGCTTATCTAGCATCCATGTACATGTAATCAATAAACTGTTCTGAACCGAAGACCACTGCGAAGTTGAATTGCTCTGCTTACCTATCCTCAACAGGTTACGGGCCCACAGACAGTGCTACGGACATTGAACAATTATTGCAAGTGCTGAAGATAATATAGGAAGTGTGTGACTAGTGTTATCAACATGAGTGTGGCAAAAGTATCCTGTATAGACTCGCTTAGCAGGGATAACTACGACACGTGGAAATACAGATGAAGGCATTGCTGGTAAGAAACGATCACTGAGTTATGTATCTGGCGAGATTAAAGCAGCAGCCCCGGATAGATGATGGGGACGAGGCATCCACGAGAGCTGTAGAAGCCTGGACTAAAGGTGACAGCAAGGCGATGTCGGACATAATTTTGTCAATAAGCCCCTCAGAAATCAAACAGGTAAAGAACTGTAATACATCCAAGGAACTGTGGCAAAAGTTGGAGGGTATTTACAATCAAAAGGACCCGCTAGAAAGGCCACATTGCTCAAACAGCTTACACTGCAACGTATGGAAGAGGGACAGGACATACGATGTCATTTAAACTCATTTTTCGATGCAGTTGACAAGTTTAAATGACATGGATGTAGAAATCAATGCAGATCTATTAGCGATAATGCTACTGTATAGCCTGCCAGCCAGTTTTGAAAACTTCAGGTGTGCAATTGAGTCTAGAGACGAATTACCATCCCCGGAAATTCTTCGAATAAAAATTATAGAAGAGTATACTGCGCGGAAAGGCGACGTTCGAAAAAACGGAAGGCGCCATGTTCGTGAAGCGGAATTATGGGAAAAATCACGGTCACGCAGGAAATGGCGGACGGGGCAGTGGCGTCTCGGAAGGTACACGAGGCAGCGGCGTCTCGGAAGGTGCACGAGGCAGCGGCGTCTCGGAAGGCAGAAGAACGTTTCAGGTATAAGTGCCACAGATGCCGAAAAGTAGGCCACAAGGCCGCTGAATGTCCAGACAAAGGTAAGACTGTTGCCAATTCTTACAAAAGTGAAGCGAAACTGTTCCGAACACGTGGGACTCGTTACCGCGGAATGTTATCATGTTGAACAGAATCACAAAAGACTGAAATGGTGTCTAGACAGTGGCGCAACGTCTCACTTATGTAAAGACATTAGTTGTTTTTCTGACCTTGAACGTAGACATGATCATTTGAATTTAGCAAATAGTGAATTTACGGACATTACAGGTTCCGGAACAGCCACGTTTGTTGCTGACGTTTTGGCGACACGAAAACATCTCACTCCATAAAAGCTGTTCATGTTCCCGACCTAAGAGTAAACTTACTTTCTGTTGCAAAGATTCCGATAAAGGATATGAAGTTTTATTCAAGAAGAAAATGCTTTGATCTATGATAGTAATGGTGATATAAAAGTTGTAGCCGATCGTAGTGGCGATTTATACTACGCGAGAGAAGGCGAAGCGCAGAATAAATCAGCTTCATTTCGACCATGAATTCTAAAAATGTCAACTATGGCATCGTAGATTAGGACATTTGAACTTTCAGGATTTGAATTCTTCATTGAAGAAAGGAAGATTAGGTGGAATAAATATTGAAAATATGCCTAATAATGGGAACTTAATTGCGAAATTTGCATACGCGGAAAAATGACGCGTTCACCATTCCGAAGAAGTCCGACAGGGAATCGGAAATGCTAGAAATCGTACATACTGATGTTTGCGGTCCCATGCGAGTAGAATCTCACTCGAAGTACAAATATTTTGTCGAATTCATAGATGATTATTCTAGGTATTGCACGGTATTCTTAATGAAACATAAAAATGAAGTTGTGCGAAAGACTCAGGAATATATTACACTGGTCGAAAACCAAAAGAACAAAAGATAAAGTGCATCCAATCTGACAACGGGACGGAGTACACATGTAAGGAAATGGAGGATCTCCTGAAAAGCACGGAATTTCACGTCGCTTGACTTGCCCATACACTCCGGAACAGAACGGTATAGCGGAGAGGAAGAACCGCACTCTCTTGGATACAGCACGTTGTCTAATCATGCAGTCCGGCTTACCCCGATCTTTTGGGCTGAAGCCATCAACACGGCCAACTATTGCGGAACAGATGTCCATCCAAAAGTCTGAACGGGTTAACACCATACGAAAAGTGGACTGGAAAGACTCCCGACGTTTCGCATCTCAGAGATTTTGGTTGCAAGGTCTTCTGTCTAAACCAAGATCAGGCCAAGGGGAAGCTAGACGCAAGATGTAAGGAAGGAATTTTCATAGGGTATTCGGAACAAACGAAAGGATACAAGGTCTGGTTGCCGAAGGAGAATAAATTCGTAATCACGAGGGATGTTAAGTTCTTGGAAAACGCAGAAGTCACAAGCCAAGAATGGACAGATTTTATTCTGGAAGGATCATCCAAGGAGAATGAATCTGAGACGTATACTATCGAGGTACAGCTATCCCCAGTTGTCGAGAACGAAAATCCAGAACATGAATCTCCTACAACGGAACAAGAAGAGCCCGAGGTTGATCACGATTCTGAGCCACCCAGGCGTGCCCGCGGGAGACCCAGAATTCGGCGAACTGGTTCGAGGGGAAGACCTAGAAAGATATACAGGTACAGGACACCCCCGAGAGGTTCAGCACTCTCTTCTGAAGAGGTATTACTGTCCGAGGTCCCGATGCATCAGGCAGTGAGAGGCGAGGACGCTGACGAATGGCACAAGGCGATGGCAGACGAAGTGGCATCTATCTTGAAGAATGGTACTTGGGAATTAATCGACCGACCATGTAACCAGCACATCGTTGGAAGCCGTATTGTCCTGAGAAACAAGTACAAGCCTGATGGAACTATCGAAAGGAGGAAGGCAAGACTAGTCGCTCGGGGATTTAGCCAAAAGCCCGGAACACATTTCAACGAGACTTTTGCCCCTGTAGCAAGGCTTAGCTCCATAAGACTTGTATCTGCCCTAGCAGCACATTTAAATATGGACATGCAGCAACTGGATGTTACCTGCGCATACTTAAATGGAAGTCTAGATGAGACGATTTACATGGAAACCCCCGAATATTTGGATGAATCATTGAAGATTATTTGTGATAACTCCAAATACGACGAGGCTACCAGAAAGAAGGCTCGAGACACCTTGAACACACTGGGAAAAGGTGATAAAGTATGTCTACTTAGGAAATCACTATACGGCCTGAAGCAAGCCGGTCGGAGCTGGTATCAGAAACTAAGCCAGACACTTAGTGAATGCGGTGCAAATCCAACTAATTCCGACCCATGTGTATTCACTTGTAAAACAGGAAAAGACATTATGATAATTGTCACTTATGTAGACGATCTGATTATCGCATCACGTGACAAAAAGGCAATATCGTCCCTAAAAGCCAAATTATCTGAAAGATTTGAAATGAAAGATCTGGGATCAGTTAATCATTGCCTAGGGATGGAATTTTCACTCAAGAAAAACAAGATAAGTCTAAGCCAGAGAGCATATATCTTGGAAATACGAGATCGATTCAAGATGGCGGATGCGAACACTGTAAGCACTCCACTTGATCCAGGAACGAAGTTAAGGAAACCGACGGAGAGCCCATCTAGTGAAGAGCTGAAGTTACCTTATAGGGAGCTTATAGGTGCGCTAACCTATCTATCGTTGGGAACGAGACCCGATATTAGCTTTGCAGTAAGCTACTTAGGACAGTTCAACAACTGTTACACTAAGGAACACTGGACAGCCGCAAAGCGAGTACTTAGGTACCTGAAGGGCACCATCGATCACTCGATAGTATACCAACGAGAAGACATGAATCTGAGAGGATTCGTTGATGCTGATTGGGCAAACTGCCCTGACGATAGGCATTCGTATACCGGATTCTCATTCATCCTATCAGGCGGACCCGTATCGTGGAATCGAAGAAGCAAGCCACAGTGGCATTGTCTACCACCGAGGCGGAATATATGGGTACCACCGAAGCTGCCAAGGAAGCAATCTACTTGGGCAAGTTCATGACCGAACTTGGGTTCGAAAGACTCGCTAACGTAACCCTGTATAGCGACAATATGAGTGCTATAAAATTGGCCGAGAACCCTAGATATCATTCCAGAAGTAAGCACATCGACATACGTTACCATTTTGTGCGGGAGGCCTTGGAACAGAAGAAGTTTAAGTTGAAGCATACTCCATCTTCTGAAATGGCCGCAGACGTATTGACGAAGGGGTTGTCGAGGACAAAACATCGGAAGTGCATGGAACTTTTGGGATTACAGACGACGGACCAGAACCTGTATGTGTCTGCTACGTCTCGAGGGGAAGTGTTGGAACGCGTACTAGCGTCACCCCGCCGCGCCGCTACTGGCGAGACGACCAGACAGGTTGCCTAACCTAGAAGCTTGTAACCGCCGTCCTGTCCCCGCGCGCCGCACCTCGGAATGCAGTCAGTCGTGATGAGTCAGTCGTGGGAAGCAGTCGAAGTACAGCAGCCAGCACACGCGCGCGGATCGCGGAACGCGGAAGCCCGATCTACACCTGTCGCTTATCTAGCCATCCATGTACATGTAATCAATAAACTGTTCTGAACCGAAGACCACTGCGAGTTGAATTGCTCTGCTACCTATCCTCAACAATTATAATTATTGTAATGATAATTATTATAATTATGATTATTATTTTATAATTATAATTTTATTATTAGTAATCATTATGATTATTATTATTATTATAAGTATTGTAATTATAAATTATTATTATTGTGATTATTATTATTATAATATTGGTAATTATAACTATTACAATTGATTTTTATATTATTATTATTATTATTATTATTATTTATAATTATGATTACTATTATTATAATTATTTAATTATTATTATTATAATTGATTATTATAATTATTATTATTATAATTATATTATTATATTTAATTATTGTAATTATTATTATTAATATTATTATTATTATGATTATTATTATTATATATTATTAATTATTATATACAATTAATAATTATATTATTATTATTATTATTATTTTATTTAATTATGATTATTATTATTATTATATTATTGTATTTTATTATATAATATATTATTATATTATTATTTTATTATTATATTATTATATTATTATATTATTAGATTATTATTATTATTAATTATTTAATTATATCTTATTTATTATTTAATTATTATTTATTATTAATTATTAATATTATTTAATTATTTATTATTATATATAATAATATTATTATTTTATAATTATTATATTCTTATTATAATTATTATTATTATTATTATATTATTATTCTTATTATATTATTATTATATATTATTATTATTATATTATTATTATATTTTTTTTTTTTTTTTTTTTTTCCCACGGCTTCGACTGATGATGTCATTTGCCGTATCCCTCCTCCACATATAGGACATGTCATTGTCACCCAGGGGTAGATCTGAGTGCATTTTATCACAGGTAATATCAATCATCAATATATATTTAAAGTCTCTATATTTAATAGGTGGGTTCTTTTCTCACTTTTCAAGTATCACACAGTGTGTGTCTTGGATACTGAATTATTTGTTAAGTACTCATCGAGTAGAGAATAGTAGGTAACTGGCATGTACGTTTATTATGCATTATATGTCACATGGTTTTAGTTATTGGTTTATTTGTATAAGCTATTTTATGGAATATCTTATTCAGGGTTTAATAAGTGTATCATCTTACATGTTTATATTTTCAGGAAAACTTGTATTTCTCTTAAGAAGTTAAGGATGTTTATCATGCTACCGGCGTCATTGCCACAGAGCCCACGTTGTAGGCTGTTAATAATGTCAAACGATTGGCGGACTCTAGAATATGTTGGGCATTCCAAGAATATGTGGTCAATTGTTAGCTGAGTTTGGCAGTTTTCGCATTGCGGTGGATCCAGGCCGCGAATGAGATGCATGTGTGTTATGTTGCAATGGCCTATGCGTAATCGTGTAAGCGTCACCTCTTCTCTTCGTGGTAGTGATGGGAGGTGCCATTTTTTAACTGTAGGTTTGTATCTTTTGAGGGTAGTTTCGCTTCCATTCCATCTCTCTTGCCATACAGACATCAACTTATTCTTCAGAAAATTTTTCAGGTCTTCCGGGTGGACCAGGTTGTTGGCGTTGACAGTATCGGTTGCTGCTTCACGGGCCAATTCGTTAGCCCTTTCATTACCTGGAATCCCTACATGACCTGGAGACCATATAAAGATAACATATTTCCGATCTGATTCCAGTAAGACAAGCCAATGAAGTATTTCTTGAACCAATGGGTCAAAGGAATTTGTGGCAGATATAGATTGAATGGCACTAAAGGAATCGCTGCAGATTAGGTAAGTACCTGCTTCATTGTGGTTATTTATATATTCCAGTGCTTTAAGCAATGCAAGTTGCTCGGCTCTGAAAACCGAGGTCATGGGATGTAGTTTAAATTTTTGCTCGTGTCCCGTTGATGTATAGGCACATCCAACGCTATCAGCTAACTTTGATCCATCAGTATATATAATATTTTTAACGTTTGTGTAACTATTTACAGTGTCATTAAACAATGCAAGAAATAAGGAGCTATTGGTTTCATCCTTCTTGTACCGTGCACACTGCAAGTCCAATACAGGTTTGTTTATTGTCCATGGTGGCGTTGAGCTATGTTTTAGATTATAAACGTCAGGAAGTTCGAGGTCGATGCTATTCAAAATTTCTTGAATCCTTACACCTGAAGGTCGTGTTATGGTAGGTCTGTCCAGGAAGATTTGGTTGATTGCTTGGTCGTATAGGATGTTGTAGTTGGGATGAGGTGGGTGTGACCAAATCTTTACACTATAATTCATAGTCAACTGCTGGAGCCTTATATCAAGAGGAGGAATACCTGAATCGCAGTATACCGCTGACGAGGGACTTGTTCGAAAAGCTCCGATACATAATCGCAGACATTGGTTATGTATCTGTTCCAAGTGTCGTAGATGAGATTTCCTTGCGGCTCCATAGATGATTAATCCATACTCGATTTTAGACAGAACAAGTGACCGATATAACGAGAGAAGGGTATCCCTGTCAGCACCCCAGTTTATGTTCGATATGCATTTCAAGATGTTCATAGACTTTTTGCATTTCACCATCAGATTATTGACGTGTTCTTTCCAATACAGCTTTCTGTCGAAAGTTAGCCCCAAAAGCTTAACAGTATCATCGATCTGTATTGCGGTGTTTCTCAGTAGCAGGTGAGGATGATTGTGAGCAGTTCGTAGCCGACAAAAATGAATGGCGGTGGTTTTTGATGCTGAGAAGCGGAAACCAATACTTTGAGCTTCTGTAACTAGGCTGTTTATTGCTGCTTGGAGTTTAATCTCGATGTTCGACATATCTTTGTCCGAGTAGAAGATCGTGAGGTCGTCTACGTATAAACATTTTCCAATGTCTGGATCTATTGTACCTATAAGACGGTTTATAGCTATCAGGAATAGCGTTACGCTGATGGTGGAACCCTGAGGTATACCGTTCTCGAGAGTATGCGGCTGAGAGAGGTGTTTGCCGAGCCGGACTTTGAATGTTCGGTTTTCTAGGAACTTGGAAATGAATTTGAGCATATTACCTCGTATACCCCATTCATGTAAGGTGTTGAGTATTCCTCGTCTCCATGTTGTGTCATAAGCTTTTTCTAAGTCAAAGCAAACAGATACCAAATGTTTTCTTTCGGCAAAGGATTGTTGAATAGCCGTGTCTATATGAGCCAATTGATCTAAAGTGGATCTAAACTTTCGGAAACCCATCTGGTAATCCGAAAGTAGACCGTTCGTTTCTAAAAACCAGACCAGCCTTCTATTAATCATCTTTTCGAGGAGTTTACTAATGCAACTAGTGAGTGATATGGGTCGGTAGTTGCTAGGGTTTTTAGGGTCCTTTCCAATTTTTGGAATAGCCACTATGATGGCTTCATGCCATTGCTCAGGGTATATGCCTTCACTCCAAATACGGTTGAATAGTTCCAGGAGTGTAAGCTGTTCGCTTTCAGGAAGATGCTTAAGCATGTCGTAGTGGACGTTGTCTGAACCAGTTGATGAAGAATTAACCTCGTTAAGAGCGTTTTGCAGTTCTAGCAATGTAAAAGGTATGTTGTATACCAATAACGAGTCATCAACTATTTCCAATATATTTTTTTCAGCCTTAGTCTTTTTAGCTACGAAGGCAAGATTATAGCTATCCGAACTGCTTGTCTCTTGGAATTGTGTAGCTAATATATTACAAATGTCTTCATAGTTTGTAATTTCTATATTGTTGACTAGCAGTATAGGGGATGGAGCTTGGAAATGCTTTCCTTGAATACTTCTGATTTTGTGCCAGACTTCCGATGGTGGTGTTTCTTTAGATATATATGACACGTATTCTTGCATGATGATTTTTTACTTTTTAAAATTATGCGACGAGCTTCCGCTCTTCTTTTCTTGAATTCAATTAAGTTGTTAGTAGAGAAGTTGCGTTTGAATTCTCTTAAGGCCTTATTTTTTTCTTTGACTGCTTTTCCAATCTTATCGTTCCACCATGGCACTTGCACATTTTTGATGTTACCACTTTTTTTGGGAATACTGAGGTTCGCTGCACTAACTATGGCAGATGTTATAGACTGCACCGAGTCGTGTATGTTATCCTTTAAAAGGAGTTCACCAATATTATTTTTGTAAGTATCCCAATTGGCTTTCTTGATGTTCCAGGTTGTATGGAATGTTCTTTCTGGACATTTTGAAGCAAAAGTTATATTTATTGGCACATGGTCGGAGTACAGATGTTCAGGCATAGTTTTCCATTCCAAGGATGATGCCAGACTTGGTGAGCAGATGGACAGATCGATACTACTAAAGCAGTTAGACCTGGAGTTGAGGTAAGTTCCATCTCCTGTATTTAAAATAATCAACTCTGATTCTTCGCAGATTCTTTCGATTATACGACCTCGAACATCAAGTTGTTGTGATCCCCATAGAGGA